TTTGAGAAGAAACGTGGCTGCAGCTGGGACTTCTCTGCTGAAAAAATGTCACTTAAAATGGTCAGAGCTGAGGTTGTGCTGCTGCTGTTTAACGGGATGATAACGGCAGCAGAAGGCACCCAGAGACCTTACGTTGTTGCATAACGCCCTCTGCAGAGTGCTGTTAACACAACTGCTTTAAAACTAGGAGCTTTTTAAATCAGAGCAACAACAACATCAGTTTTTAGGAAAGTCCAGTTTTCCTGGAACTATTTATCTTCACACTTTGGTCTCTCTATCTTTTTACAAATAATGTATATATATATTTGTTTTGTTTGTTTATGTATCTTTAGTTTTAGCTAGAATCTAAACAAGCACACTTTTCTCTGAACAGCATGGGCTCAGATTTAGCTGCTGCAGCAATATTTTCCTCTTTCACTTCTTCTCGACCGGAAAAGGGTGGCTTGCTAACTCCGGGTCGGGGAGAGGTCCTACCTCAAGTGGAGGAGTTTAAGTATCTCGGGGTCTTGTTCACAAGTGAGGGTAGGAGGGATCGGGAGATCGACAGGCGGATTGGTTCGGCGTCTGCAGTGATGCGGACGCTGAGCCGATCTGTCGTGGTGAAGAGGGAGCTGAGCCAGAAAGCCAGGCTCTCGATTTACCGGTCGATCTACGTCCCAATCCTCACCTATGGTCATGAGCTTTGGGTAATGACCGAAAGAACGAGATCGCGGATACAAGCGGCCGAAATGAGTTTCCTCCGTAGGGTGGCCGGGCTCAGCCTTAGAGATAGGGTGAGGAGCTCGGACATTCGGGAGGGACTCGGAGTAGAACCGCTGCTCCTCTGGATCGAAAGGAGTCAGTTGAGGTGGTTTGGGCATCTGGTCAGGATGCCTCCTGGACGCCTCCCTGGGGAGGTGTTTCGGGCATGTCCTGCCGGCAGGAGGCCCCCGGGTCGACCCAGGACACGTTGGAGAGGTTACATCTCCAATCTGGTCCGGGAACGCCTTGGGGTCCTGCCGGAGGAGCTGGTGGAGGTGGCCGGGGGGAGGACGGTCTGGAGCTCCCTAGTTGGGATGCTGCCCCCGCGACCCAGACCCGGATAAGCGGAGGAAGACGACGACGACACTTCATCAGTCATTGACTCAGAAATTCACCAGATGACTCACATCCCCTCATTTCTGCATTTTGTCTTATTGATAAAATTAGACACGTGTGTGTGTGTGTGTGTGTGTGTGTGTGTGTGTGTGTGTGTGTGTGTGTGTGTGTGTGTGTGGGATTAGCACACATTCCTCAGGCTCACACACTGTCACATAGAATCAAACTCATACGGAGCACAAAGCCTTGGAGTTCGTCTCCCCCGTCCTGTCACACCCAGCATGTCTTGTCTCTCATCTGTTTCCGTTTTGCTGACGTTCCCCCCCCCCCCCCCCCCCAGTTCTGCTTTCCTGCTTGTGTTTGACCCCTCAGCGTTTCTCTGTGCTCTGTTTGTGTAGGTTTGCGTCAGTCACATCAACTGCTAGTAAATTAAATTTATTTATGTTATCAGACACAAGGTTTTAGGTTAGGAGGAGATTAAAAAATAAAGTATCTGGAGACAGTTTAAGATTTTTCCCGTTTTTCTCTTTTTTTTTTTTTGGTGGTGGGGGGTAGATGGTTCAAGCCTTTAACTGTGATGTTTATGCTTTACAGCTTATAAAAAAACACATTCAAAATCTCAGACAATTAGAATATTGTGAAAAGGTTTAAGTAGTATTCTAGACTCTAAGTGTCACACTATAATCAGCTGATTAGTCCAAAACACCTGCCAAGGGTTCCTGAGTCTTTAGATCAGGGGTGCCCAATCCTAGTCCTGGAGGAGGGAGGGGGGGATTTTGAAGGTTGCAGGTTTGAAACTCGGCTGCGGCCTTTCTGCGTGGAGTTGCGTGTTCTCCCCATGCATGCGTGAGTTTCCTCCGGGTACTCCGGTTTCCCCCACAGATCACAGCATGCCCTAAAGGTTATAAACTGTAAGTCGCTTTGGGTAAAAGCGTCTGCCAAATAAATAAACATAAACTCTGATATCAATCAGCAGGTAATGAGCAGGCTTCTGCAGAGCCTGATGCTGCTGCACAGGTGATTCAACCACTGAATCTAGTGAGTTGGAGCAGAGAAACCACTAAAACCTTAATTATAATTTTTAGACTTTCCCTGCAAATCTGACCAAAAAAAGACAGAGATGATGGGGATAGACCGATGTGAGTCGATGTGCCGCTGCAGTAAGTGGGTACAGTCTTTTATGAAGCACCAGGTGGGGCAGTAGTTGTTTATGTGTGTAGAGGGTAAACGTTGTTGCTTTTAAGTTTAATATATTACCTTTACTTATGACCAATAAGCTGTGATAACGTAGTCCAGTGTAAATACTGTAAAATGGATGTATCCTACCACAACACCACATTCCTCGATGCTGCAACCTGACCAGGAAACATCCACATGTAAATGTCACTTCTGCAAGCGGACTCGGAGCCTCTACAAGATAATGCATTTAGCCTGTATTTCTATATATTCTGCAGACACTGTGCGACTTTTTCGTTTGTAGCACTCAGTTTCAGCTCACACCGTATGTCTGGTAGCAACACGTCGGACTTAAAATGTGCTAAAAATAACAGTTTTTACAACACGTCGGAGTTTTTACTGTGTTGTTATTGACGTTCGTTGTCCCTCGGGATTGCTGCAGGAGGACACGGGTATTTATGAGAGTGGCGGAGGAAAAGGAAAGAAAGTAAATAAGTGTTGTGTGATCAGTGTAATTTAACAAAATCACGGCAAACATGCTTTCTCGACAATCCTTGTTAGTGTGAGAAAAAAAGAGTAGAAATTAAAACGGACGTGTGTTAATAGGGAAATAGCTGGCGAGCCATGTTTGCGCATGCGCCGTGAGCGGTTCTGGTTCTGTTTGGGCCGCAGCCGCTCGCATTTGTTTACTGTAAAGTAAAGTTGAAATGCTGATGGTTTGAAAACTAATTTTGAATAAAACTTGAAGAATAACTGGCAACTGCTTGCTCATTTTAAGAGATCTTTCAAATTTTATAACATGCTATTTGATATAATGGTTTACAAACGCAAAAGGGTAATTTATTAGAGTACTCGATTAATCGATAAAATATTCGATAGAGTACTCGATTACAAAAATATTCGATAGCTGCAGCCCTAATTCAGAGAGTGAGCAATCCTGCGGTGTTGTCAAAAGAAGGCTTTGTTTGGGAACACATCCTGACATCTTGTTCCTCCTGAAATGCCAACAAGGCTGCGGTATCCTTCTGGGTTTGTTGGAAGCTAGGATGAAAAATCCACTTTAGAGAATGGAATTTATGTCTGCAGACGACCGGTGGCATGCAGGTCAATCTGTAGGTGGAAACGGACCATTTCTGGACGTTACATGTGGTAGAGCGGGTTGTCCAGAAGGTTGCAGGTTTGATCCTGGCTCCCAGCAGAGAATGCTGCTTTTGTGTCCTCGGGCGAGACGCTTAACCCACTGTGCCTGATGGTGGTAGTCGGCCGTCTGGCTTCTGTCAACACGCCCCAGGACAGCTGTGGCTACATGGTAGCTCATCATTACCAACATGTGAATGGGTGAATGACTGACTGTGCTGCAAAGCGCCTTGGGGGGTTATAGAACCCTAAGAAGGTGCTATACAAAAATAGCCCATTTACCATTTTATCTATCACCAAAACAATCAAATGGAATTTAAGAGAATAAAACCCAAAACAATAGAAGGTCATTAAAATCAAAAAGACAAATGAAGAGCTGAATTAAAGTCGGGCACATCCGCGGGCAGCCTGGTACTGCTGCCCAGTTTGATTTAAAGGTTTACGTTCCTGCTTAATAAAGGCTCAAACATTTTTGTTAACCGACATTTATTTTTATCCACCTCGGTCGGTTTATTGATTTGTTCGATTCACAATTTTATTTTTTGCACAAAATTTAGATTCAAGAGTTAAAATAAAAGTCTGGTTCAGCTCAGAAATGTTGCGCCTCCACTGATGTTATCAGAGACGTGTCGGCATGCAGATATGGTGGAAAAGGTAGCGGCCATGAAAACACTGGTGTTGGTGCAGGATCGGCTCGGGGTCCTTCGACTGCCGATGACGTCAAAGTAGTCGATTGGCTGAACATGAAGCTTACGGAAGTGACGTAATCACTTTGTGATTTTGATTGGTCAGAACAAATTTGCGGTCGTAGTCTTAGCGGTTGTAGTCCTGTAGTCCAAAAATCAACACTTTTTGGAGAAAATGTGTTTGAATTTCTAAAGGAAATGTAAAATATAAGCTAATGATAAACGGTGACCCTCAAAAGCTCTTGATGTTGATGAAATGGAGCAAAATAAAATATAAGAACTTTATTGAAAGACACCAAGCAATGTTTAGAGTCAAAGAATGTATTTAGATAACAACTAAGGAAATATACAGACAAACTCCACATTAATACAAACAGACATGGCTTCACATATAAGAACTGTTCTATTTTTTGTCAGTCCGATGTTGGTTTTATGCAGTTTCACATTCTTTACAAAACAAAGATAATATGGTGTTTTATTAACAAATTACAATTATAAAGAAAATATTTAGGTGTTAACAAACAAGAATTTATTAACAAAACTGCTGATGTCTTTCCAAAACGTGTGTGTGAAAGCCGAGTAGATTTGCAGTCATGTGACGTCATCGGCAGTCGAAGGACCCCGAGCCGATCCTGTACCGACACCGGCAGCACACATCGGCCGTCACCGTTAGAAACCCACATCAGTCCATCTCCGTTCTCATCTCTAGCCTCAAACTGAATTTTTATCCAAATAAAGCAACATTTGATTAAACCAAATGCGTTCCCATCTGATGATTGATTAAATAAAACGCTGATTTTCCCCTATTAACAGCATCCAGACTGGTGTTTCTCACTTTGGTTCAACTTTCTTTTACTCACTTTCTGTGCTTTAGTTTTAAAACACTCGATGAAAGTAAATGTCTGATTTTTGTGTGTTTTCTAGTCATCCAGTCCCAAACTGACAACTCCGTGCTCGGATATCCAGGAAGTCCGTCGCTGCAACCGGCTGGAGATGCCCGACAACCTCAACACGTTTGTTTTAAAGGTGCGCTGGTTTTCAGCCCAACTCTCCCGTCTCGGTGAAAATGTCCTCTTGTGGGTCTGTAAGCCTCTCTGTCCCCCGCAGGTTAGCCGAGGTAGTCTGATATTTGAGACGGACAATGACCAGCAGGTCAGCTCCTGGACCACAGAGCTCAAGGAATGCATCAGCAACAGGTGAGCTGCACCTGAACGCAGCACGGAGTCTTCCTCGCTGGGTCCTGGAAGCTGCTTTGTTCTTTATTTATTCAGAGCAGGAAAAGCATTTAAGCGTGGCAGCTTGTGAGTTTGTTTTTGCACAAACTCCGAAGCTTTTATAAAATGCACCCAAAAATTTTTATTCTAAAATAGGGCTGCACAATATATCGTAAATATATCGTTATCACGATATCAGCATGCACAATATGCATATCGCACAGAACAGATAAATATCGCAACGAATGGTCAGCTCAAATGTTTGCTACACATAATGCATTAAATCAAATGGAAGCTGATAGGTAATTTTTTATTTATCCCATATTACCTTAAATGACGACACACACAGAGAGAGAGAGAGAAGGTTATTATTATTCGTAATGTCCATGAACCGTCATGCGAGAGCTGGTCGGAAACCCAGCCCCCACTCTGCTCCAGCCTTCAGCTCACCAGCTCTGCCTACCCGCATTCTCCACCAAAATGTTGGGTAATATTTAATCTCCATAACCCTGGAACCTGAAATAAACACTCATGAGAACAAGGAAGACATTTTACCCTGAGTCCCCAAAATATGGAGAGTTAACGCAGAGGAAACTCCTCCGAGGCTTCCCCACGCCACTCCCATGTATTCTCAGTTAGCCAGGGGTTTTATTTAGCAAAGGATGGAGAAGGCGGGGCCTTCTCAGGTTACAGAGGTACAGAGGTTTGGTTGGAATCAACATCCTTGACTGCAAACAAGCTTCTCTGCTCAACCTTTCATGAACAGCCACAGTTGGCAAACACAGAGATTCATGAAGTGTTAATAACACAAATTGGGCATCTTTTAGGCCTCAAAAAAGGTACAATTATAAAAATACCCAACAGAAGCATGATGTTTTTTTAACAAATCAAATAGAGCTCTTCACCCATTTGGCCAATGGGTGGGTTCTCATAAGTTCTCATAGGTTAGATGCCTGCCCCCGAGGCCAACGACACTTAATTTTGATGGTTAGCAAACACCCGATTTAGCTTAGTTCTGCTTTTCCCAGGATCCATTGATCGCCTTTTCTTGTTCATTTTCTTTTTCCCTTTCCTCACATCTTTAGCTTTTCTCATTTTTATGATATTTTATTTCATTATTTTTGATTGTTTTTGTTCCTGAGTTAATTTTTTATTTATCGCAAGTAATATCGTCATCGCAATATTAATCATTATCGAATATCGCAGGTTTTCCTAATATCGTGCAGCCCTATTCTAAAAATATGAACCAACTTCAGTTTTTGCAGCTTTTATTTTTGTTGCATTTGCAAAGAAACCGTATCTGAATCAGTCAGTTCTGTCTCGTAAACGGTTTGCTGCCGCCGCCATCCTTCGTCCCTGAGCAGCTGAGAGCATTTTAGTGCCTCTGGGTGAGATGTGCGTTTGCAGCAGCTCACGTGTGAATTCCTGCAGTCATCCATCCTCTCTTCACGTTTGTCCCACACAGCTGGACCTTCTTGTAACACTTTGAAGTGATTAATAGTTATTTTAAGGTATTTCAATGCTTTTTCACTCGTAAAATTCAAATAATTTGTGTATTTAACTTTAAAACAAACCAAAACTGAGAAGCAGTGTGTGAAAAATAAAATAAACTTAAACACACACTCTAATAATCTTTTTTACTCGTCTCGTCTTCCTCCGCTTATCCGGGTCCGGGTCGCGGGGGCAGCATCCCAACTAGGGAGCTCCAGGCCGTCCTCTCCCCGGCCTTGTCCACCAGCTCCTCCGGCAGGACCCCAAGGCGTTCCCGGACCAGATTGGAGATGTAACCTCTCCAACGTGTCCTGGGTCGACCCGGGGGCCTTCTGCCGGCAGGACATGCCCGAAACACCTCCCCAGGGAGGCGTCCAGGAGGCATCCTGACCAGATGCCCAAACCACCTCAACTGACTCCTTTCGATCCGGCGGAGCAGCGGTTCTACTCCGAGTCCCTCCCGAATGTCCGAGCTCCTCACCCTATCTCTAAGGCTGAGCCCGGCCACCCTACGGAGGAAACTCATTTCGGCCGCTTGTATCCGCGATCTCGTTCTTTCAGTCATTACCCAAAGCTCATGACCATAGGTGAGGATTGGGACGTAGATCGACCGGTAAATCGAGAGCCTGGCTTTCTGGCTCAGCTCCCTCTTCCCCACGACAGATCGGCTCAGCGTCCGCATCACTGCAGACGCCGAACCAATCCGCCTGTCGATCTCCCGATCCCTCCTACCCTCACTCGTGAACAAGACCCCGAGATACTTAAACTCCTCCACTTGAGGTAGGACCTCTCCCCCGACCCGGAGTTGGCAAGCCACCCTTTTCCGGTCGAGAACCATGGTCTCAGATTTGGAGGTGCTGATCCTCATCCCAGCCGCTTCACATTCGGCCGCGAACCTACCCAGCAAGAGCTGAAGGTCAGAGCTGGATGAAGCTAGGAGGACCACATCATCCGCAAAAAGCAGAGACGAGATTCTCCTGCCACCAAACTCGACACACTCCACACCACGGCTGCGTCTAGAAATTCTGTCCATAAAAGTGATGAACAGAACCGGTGACAAAGGGCAGCCCTGGCGGAGTCCAATCCTCACCGAGAACAGGTCTGACTTACTACCGGCTATGCGGACCAAACTCACGCTCCTCTGGTAAAGGGACTGAATGGCCCTTAACAGAAAGCCACCCACCCCATACTCCTGGAGCGTCCCCCACAGGGTGCCCCTGGGGACACGGTCATAAGCCTTCTCCAAATCCACAAAGCACATGTGGATTGGTTGGGCAAACTCCCATGCCCCCTCCATCACCCTTGCAAGGGTATAGAGCTGGTCCACAGTTCCACGGCCAGGACGAAAACCACATTGCTCCTCCTCTATCTGAGATTCAACTATCGATCGGACCCTCCTCTCCAGTACCTTGGAGTAGACCTTTCCAGGGAGGCTGAGGAGTGTGATCCCCCTATAGTTGGAACACACCCTCAGGTCACCCTTCTTAAAGATGGGGACCACCACCCCAGTCTGCCACTCCCTAGGAACTGCCCCCGATGACCACGCAATGTTGCAGAGACGTGTCAACCATGACAGCCCTACAACATCCATAGCCTTGAGATACCCAGGACGAACCTCATCCGCCCCCGGGGCTCCGCCGCTGTGTAGTTGTTTGACTACCTCAGCAACTTCTGCCCCCGAGATCGGACAGTCCATCCCCAGGCCTCCCAGCTCTGGTTCCTCCTCGGAATGCGCATTGGTGGGATTGAGGAGCTCCTCAAAGTATTCCTTCCACCGTCCGACTATAGCCTCAGTTGACGTCAGCAGCTCCCCATCCCCACTGTAAACAGTGTGAGCGAGTTGCTGCCTTCCTCTCCTGAGGCGCCGGACAGTTTGCCAGAACCTCTTTGGAGCCGATCGATAGTCTTTCTCCATGGCCTCACCAAACTCCTCCCACGCCCGAGATTTTGCCTCGGCAACTGCCACTGCTGCACCCCGCTTGGCTATCCGGTACCTATCTGCTGCCTCCGGAGACCCACAGACCAGCCACGCCCTGTAGGCCTCCTTCTTCAGCCTGACGGCTCCCCAAACCTCTGGTGTCCACCAGCGGGTACGGGGGTTGCCACCACGACTGGCACCGGCCACCTTACGACCACAGCTAGCAACAGCCGCCTCGACAATCGCAGAGTGGAACAAGGCCCACTCGGACTCAATGTCCCCCACTGCTCTCGGGACGTGGTCAAAGCTCTGCCGGAGGTGGGAGTTGAAGACCGTCTTGACAGGTTCTTCTGCCAGGCGTTCCCAGCAGACCCTCACTATGCGTTTGGGTCTGCCAGGTCTACGCGGCATGTTCCCTTGCCATCTGATCCAACTCACCACCAGGTGGTGATCAGTTGACAGCTCCGCCCCTCTCTTCACTCGGGTGTCCAAAACATACGGCCGCAGGTCAGATGATACGACTACAAAATCTATCATCGACCTGTGACCTAGGCTGCCCTGGTACCAAGTGTACCGGTGGGCATCCTTATGTTCGAACATGGTGTTCGTTATGGCCAAACTGCGGCTTGCACAGAAGTCCAATAACAAAACACCGCTCGAGTTCTGATCAGGTGGGCCGTTCCTCCCAATCACACCCCTCCAGGTCAAGCTGTCATTGCCCACGTGAGCATTGAAGTCCCCCAGCAGGACAATGGAGTCCCCTGATGGAGCACTATCTAGCACTCGTCCCAGGGACTCCAAAAAGGGTGGGTACTCTGAACTGATATTTGGCCCATAAGCACAAACAACAGTCAGGACCCGTTCCCCGACCCGAAGGCGCAAGGAAGCTACCCTCTTGTCCCCCGGGGTAAACCCCAACACACAGGCAGAGAGTCTCGGGGCTAACAAAAAGCCAACCCCAGCCCTCCGCCTCTCACCCGGAGCAACTCCAGCAAAGTAGAGTGTCCAACCCCTCTCCAGGTCTCGGGTTCCAGAGCCAATGCTATGTGTCGAGGTGAGTCCGACTATATCTAGCCGGTACCGCTCAACCTCTGCCACAAGCTCCGGCTCCTTCCCCGCCAGCGAGGTGACGTTCCATGTCCCAAAAACTAGTTTTCTTGTCCGGGGATTGGACCGCCAAGGCTCCCGCCTTGGTCTGCCACCCGATTCACATTGCACCGGACCCTTCATGTTCCTCCTGCGGGTGGTGGGTCCACAGTTGGACGAGCCCATGTATCCGGTTCGGGCTGGGCCCGGCCGGGCCCCATGGGCGAAAGCCCGGCCACCAGGCGCTCGCTCACGGGCCCCAACCCCAGGCCTGGCTCCAGGGTGGGACCCCGGTAACCCTCCGGGCCGGGTACTTCGACTCTTCGTTTTAACCGCCATGAAAGATCCTTCGAACCGTTCTTTGTCTCACCCTTCACCTAATCTTTTTTAGCTGTTTTAAAATAGTTCTCAATGCAGTTTTTAGCTAAAATTACAAAACCTGGGCTGTTTTCTTGTACTTAGTTTCTACGTAGAGGCAGAAGCTCAT